CTACTCTCCATAGAAGAGGGCCGACTGGTTCCAAACACACAGCCACCCCCCTTATACTTAACTAAAAATAATCAGGGCCTGGCCGACCCTGTGCCTAAACAGGCGGCTACCCTCCTTTTACTTAGAACCTACGTTCACCAAGAACTAACCAAGGCCACAGGCCGAATGATCAGACCAGGCGCCAAGCCAACTGATCCAATCTTCAAAACTAATACGACCTATCCCAACATCATAGCTGGCGTCCGGCGGCATCCCTCCGGATGAAATTCGTCGCAGAGAGCAGCTCCCTTTTGGGTGGAACATTGCTCTATAAACTAATTACACGGCACCTATACGACTGACCCCAAGGGCAACCACGTAGCCGTTTTTGAGACAAGGATAACTCTATCACTAACCAAACCAGTGGTAGCAGTTGGCATCTGAGTCAGATGACCGTCTGTATTGCTTGGGATAAATGCAGGGGGTACCTCTTGAGTTAATAGCCAACAAACATTGGCGAATCAAAAGGTTCAGCCGGCCTCCGCCGCCTGGTACCTTTACTACTCAAGCAGGAGTGACGGCGACTGAGTAACACCAAAGTTAACTCATAGTCACTCTCTCAAACTTAGTATGGAGCCTAAAAGGTATGAGTCGTCCGCCTGTTTTTAGCAAACAGGGGCTCTCAACCACTACTCCTGCTAAGTTAACAACCTATGAGTTAAAAGCCAACAAACATTGGCGAATAAAGGGGGACAACCGGTACCCACCGCTTGATACCTCTACTACTCAGTTACTTGGCGACTAGGTAACAATCATGTTTACTTGGTCACTCCCTAAAAATTTTAGTTTGAAACTAAAAAGGTGCTCATACAGTCGGCCTAGACGGCCTAAAGTCTCTAGCCATAAAGCATGACAAGTAGGAAACAATTTCCCTACTTGGTTAATTTTACAAATGACAGGTCCGCCTGCCTAAAGGGGATCCAGTCTTTAAAATGGTTCGAATACCGATTGGATAAATGGCCGACTGATTGTCTAGCCTGGAAACAGACAACCAGTCGTCCAGGGGCATAGGCGGCGTGACTAACTATTCGTACCTGTCTGCAACTATCGGCCATGTAAAACAGTCGGTATAGTGTACAATTGGATATCAAAATAATTCCATACTTGAACAAATTTGAAGCAGAACAAAAAAAAATTCATTAAAAAGAAGCCGGTCATTAAAGACCGGCAAAATATTCAGAGCCCCGGCCCCCTGGCCGGGTAAATACAAACAAACGGCACGCAGGCCGTGGAAAGAAGACATAAAGCTTAAGAAGGGGGCAGATCTTCAATATTAGCAGCTGCCGCTGTCAGCACTCTTCCTGCTGGACTCGGCTTCAGCTGCATCCTTCTTTGATGCATTACCCCCAAGCGGCACAAGCGCCACTACCGGCTGCTCCTCCTCCTCCAACGCCTCTTCCTCAGCAGCCGCCAGGATCTCTTGATTATATCTATCAGAACACTGGCGGTACGTTTTTTCCCATGAGGCAAAGTCGACATTAGGGAAGAGGCGGCCCCAAGTCATGCGCTGGATTTGAGCAAAGTCTTCCATCATCTCCCGGACCAGCTCTTTCTTTTCTTGCTCGGCCTTTTCCGAGAGCTCCTGAGTAAGACTCTTCTCCTGGGTCACCAAGCGTACCTTTACGCTCGCCAAGGATTTCTAACTGAGCCGCCTTCTGGGTCACCAAGCGTACCTCCAGCTTGCTATTCCTCTTCTGGGCCGCCTCTAACTGAGCCCGGATAGCGGCGGTAGCCTGCGCCTGATAATAAAGAATATCAATGGTCAGAACTTCATTTTGGGCAATTTGAAACATTGCCTTATCACAGTCAGAGGCGACCATAGCTTTTGCAGCCTTTACCTCTTTGTTCTTCCGGTCAAGCGGCTTGCGAAGGCCGTTCACTCGGAGCAGGGCCGAAGTAAAAAGGGGAACATGCGTCAGTTTCCAAACAAAAAAGAAAACAGGCGTCCTGGAATTCAAATACTCAAAAATATGCTAAGTATACCTCAGCAAGGACCCCTGCAATCCCGTCTAGGTCAAGGGTGCCGACACCCCTGACCGCCTCCCTTTCGGCTGGAGGAACGGCTTTGATCATAGACTTGGCCACCTCGACCAAGTCAGGCTCCTGAGGGCCGGCTGCATCAAGCATAAACAAACGGATTAGACCTAGTAAAGAAGGGAGCAAGTCTAAAATTTACAAGGATAATTTCATAGTTCTAGAAGAAGTGGCCGGCTGTTTCTCAGCCGCCACATGTTTCCTGGCAGAACCAGGAGAGCTCGCAACAGTCGTCCTCCGGGCCTTGGGGTCCGGCTGTTGGGAAGAAGAAGCTCTTGGAGCGCCCGTCTAAAAAAGAAGAAAAGAGTCAGTATATGCATAAACACAACTCCAAAAAGAGGGTGAAAGGTTCGAAGCCCACCAAGGGTGCCCCCTTGTTGGGGGAGTCGGTTGAAGACTGTTGCATGATGGAGGCCCGCAACATGGCCGCCGCAGTCTTGGAGGCGGTAATTTTGCTCATGGCGTCCGCTGCAAAAACAAATAGCAAAGTTAATAAAAGTCATAACAAGAAATGCACGGAACAACAGAGTATTCGACAGGCCGGCTACCTCTTGAGCACCGACTCCTGAGGCCACAGGCGGCCAAAAAGTACTCGTCGTAGAGCCATTTGAAGCTCGGGACGCAGTGCAGGGGTACTTGCTCTCGTACCCCTGAAGTAGAGTTCACCTTCGACTCTACTTTGAAGAGTCCTTTATCTAGGATCTCTTTCTTAGCCTTGGGGGGAACAGGCGGCATGCTGCGGCCGCCTGCAAGAAGGGGCGGATTCCTGTTCCACCTGTTGAAGCGCTTGTTCAGCTCTGTGTCTGAACTCTCAATAATAAGGAAGGTGCTCCGCCAGTCCTTCCATTTGTTTGCTTTACCTCTCGTCATGAGGTAGCCCCTGTGGCTTGTCAATTGATACCAGCCGGTACCGCCGGCCCCAGGCGGTACCGGCTGAGGTAGTTCATGTGGGCGAAAGCCTCGAAGTTCGGCTCCACCCCGTGCAGTTCGCACCCGGCCACATAGCCGAGTACGTTGATCCAGGAGTTCGGGGCTAACTGCCATAACCCCAACTCATACCCATCCAAGATCCGCTGAACAGCCGGATGTAGTGGGAAGCGCAGCCCAGCCTTGATGGCCGCCTCGTAGCAGCCAAAGCAGGCGCCATCATAACTGGTACCAGCCGGCCAGACGACTGTGTCGTCTGGATCCGGCACGAACACTAAAAAGCCGGGGCCCATTGTGTGGTTTGCGATAAAGCTCTCCACTTTCTCTTGCATGGCTGTGATCCGGCCCCGAGGTACCGTGCAGTAGTAGGGGGTATTTTGCTCTCGGTGAGAGGCGGATGGCTCCGCCCAATCGTCCCCCTTCTCAACTGCGTGAGAAAGCCTCGCCTCTTGTAGGTGACTGTTTTTCTCTTCTGTGTCCAGAGAAGCATGGCCAGAAGAGCTAGACTCGGAATCGTCCTCTGACGAGTCCGAAGAGGACGACTCCTCCCCTCTCCCGGAGGGGCCCGCCTCCTCTCCTTTAAAAGGAGCAGGAGAGAATGTAGAATTGTCAACTGTAAAATGGGAAGGGGTCACTTTGACTCCTCCCTCAGAACTGCCGGCTTTCAAGCCGCTTTGTTTCACCTCCACATCTGGCGCCTGGTCAGCTGTTTCATTAATCGGCACCCTGTGGGAGGAGCCGTCTGAGTTTGAGTTTGAGATCCTGGCAGTCTTTTTTGTTCTGGCCATCATGCTCTGCATAGACACAGATACAGTCGGACTTTGTATAAAGGGCAAAGATGGGTCCAGAAAAGGGCAGGCGGCACTCCTAGTCATAGATTCAGCCGTCCCTGGTGACCGGCTGATCACTAACCTAGGTCGTGTCGTGTGCTTCCGTGGTGCCATTTCAAAAAAGAATAAAGTAAAGAGAAAATTAAGAGTAAGAGAACCGACGGTTACCTGAACGAGTGACGATTGATGAAGTTCTGAAAATCCTTTGCAGTCGGCTTGTCAGACTAGTCACGTGCCACCTGTGAGGGGCAAATGATTAGGGGATTTTTCCCCACCAATCACCATCTGACAAGTGGACCAATCAGGTTCCGCCATGTGTCCGTCACATGGGCCAATAGGAGCCTGCCACGTGTCAAGCAATGATCCGTCCACTATGGACCAATTACGACACGACACGTGTCCTTCCCATGACACCTGGGATAACCGGTCACCTAGGCCCAACTTCCGAGGGAAGCCCAATCAGCCCAAGGTTAACCTAAACCTATATTGGCACGTTTCCCGAGGTTATAAATACCTCCCTTAATCCTCATTAAGAAAAGATTACGCAAAAAAACGCAGATTACACACATTAAACTCTCTCACCTAGAGAGACCCAATCACTTTAATTTCCGCATTAATTACTCCTTAATCAAGTACTAACTTGACCGTCGGAGGCGGATCTCCAATCATCCGGAGCATCCGTTTGTTTTGCAGGTACAGGCGTCCGGTTCCAGTCTCGGAATTGTAACTCTCCCGCAGGACATCAGAAAACCCCGAAACACCCATGTTAGGTTTTACATGTCTTAATACTTAAATTCAAGAGTAAAATTTGATTACAAATGGCATGCCAAGTGTAGAGAACTCACTAAATGTCACATCAAGTGTTGGCATACAGGACAACCAAGTAGCTACTGTAGAAGTTGATGTAGCTAAACATGATGTTTGCACATAGCTAACTTGATTTTGAGACGAACCTATATATTTTCACCCAATTAAAACCTGATTTGGTTATTCCACTATTTCCCTTTACAATTGCTGCTATTTATCTTTTTTGCATCTACACTTCTGTTTTTAACAGATTGTGACATTAACGATGACAACTTTTCGATTGTTTTGGCACTTGAAAGATTTGCTTTTAGTTCTGTTTTTGATGGGCAATTTAACTGAACAGTCCTTGGATTATTGTGTCAGCTTCTGGAGGATCAATCCATCACTCGTTCACCAATTATAATGTGATATGAAGGTTTGGGTGCGTGTTCATGTGGTTACCTTTAGCCTGTGATTTTCAAAACAAGCTGACGTTGATCGCAATGGTAAACTTTTTTTCATTTAAGTTTTTTTGTTTGTTGTTCTAGCACCCTGTTTTCTATAACTCTTTTCTTAATTAATATACTCCATTCAATTTCTTTATTCATTCTACTATCATAGCATGATGAACTTGTTGAATCCATTGGATGTGGTACCCACTTCCTAGGGTGCGTTTAAGTAGTTCTTTGGTTAATTATTAAATATATATTTCCTAAGATGCCTTGGAAGCTGTATCTCCCATGTACTTTAATTTATAGGAAGCATGAACTCTTGTTTGTTTGATAGTTGGAAGAATGATTTTCTATGAAAAGTTTTACTTACCTAGGGAGACCTAGTTAAGCAACAACTTTCTTTTTATGGAAATTAGAACCTCCTATGTTTCTCCAACCAAACAACTTTGCATTCTCTCACTTCCTATGAAATTCTACTAATTGATTTATTTTTTTTTTCTAATCTTTTATTTTAGTCAAATCAAACAAATACCTAATAAACATGTCTCGCTAAACTTCCTATTAGCATAGAATTTGAAACTTAAAATACGCCTCTTTACTCTATTTATATTATTTGACCACTTAATTAACTTTTCTCATTTCATATCATTTCTGATACAAAATATTGATATATTATCATTTATTTGTTTAAAAAATCAATGTATTATTACTTGTTAGTTTTAACTACTTATACATCGAATAACATGTTTTGAAAATTTGTTTTTAACCTTACTTTTGTTGTCTTGCACCTTTGCACCTATCTTTAGCAACAAAAGTTTCAAAGTCTACTTTAGCAAATTTTCAAAATAGCTATTACATCAAACTCTATTCTCAATTTGAAATTTAAGATTATTTTTGAATTATTTATTTATTATTTTTTATGATTTAATTGTTGTGAAAGTGTTACTTAGGTCTTTAAACGTTATGAAAGCACTTTAGGAAAAAGTTAGTTAATGCATTGGTATTCGAAACTGACAAGTAATAGTGCATTGATATTTTGAATGAACAAATAATAATAGATCGATAATATAACCAGAAAAATTATGTGAGATGAAAAAAGTTAGTTAAGTGGTCGAATAATATGCTATACTCATGTCTTCTAGAATGTGAGTACTCCATAGAATATTCTATACTCATGTCTAGAATGGAGATTGTAAGATTTGTAACGCTTGTAAGGAGTCAAAGGGAATTTAAGTGGATATAGACTTACAAGGAAGCACTAACCCAAAACAATTAAACACGTTGAACTTATAATTTTGGTAGAAATTAAACTTTCAATCTCATTGTTGGAGATGACACTACCAAGTCCCATTAGATATTCTACTAGTTTGTTGCTCCGTCGATCTAGGTTGATTGCTCATTACTATTTCTATTTTTATATTAATGTGTACTAATTTTGGGTTTGAGGGGTACCTTACTACACTTTGTTGCTGGCACGCATTAGGAGATTATCCTCCAAAAACATTTGTGAATATGCGATTAATAGTTTTTTCAATATAGAGTGAACATTCAGTTTAGGTTTGCAAAGTTTTGACTTTTGAGCAAAAATTTGGACAGTAATATTCCTTGAGGGCATGCTTCGAAAGTAGGGAATTTATTAGGTAGTAGTACAGTTGAGGTGTTTAATGGAATGAGGTAGTGGTGGACCTGGTGGTGTGATCTTTGAACTATGGATTTGTGTGGCTGCTTGGCGCAATTAAAGTGAGTTGGGCAAGAGTTTGTGTGTCAAAGTAGCAGCTGTTTGCATCTATGTTTTCCAGCAAGCAAATTCTATTTAACTCCTTAAGCAGCTTGGGATTAGCTAGGTCAAGTTAGATATTGATGGGAGTCATTTGAGGAGTCAAGGCTGCACCAAAGCTATTTCTGATCACCTTCTCAAAGCTGGCGCATTCTTTCACTTCAGATTTCATAAACTATATGTAAAGCCCTACTGAAAGAACATTAGGCTTTCATTGTTTGTTGCATTTATGCTTATTTGGACTCTTGTTAGGTGTGAAGTTTCTAAAGCTTTAGCTATGTTGATTTTAATAATGAGTTTATTTGCTGCGAACTTGTGTTTGCTCAAAACTTGAAATGTTGGACTGGCTTATATTTTCGTTCATTCAAGACATTGTATGCACCGAATTCTGTGAGTTGAGCTTGTGGTAGCTAATACTCTCATGTATTGCGTAACAATCAACCCAAGCTCCAAAAATCGCTTGAATTTTAAGTTTAAGCAACTTGAGCAACAGTCGGGATCAAGACATTGAATTTTGTAGCTTTATTAGCATGCATGCAGTTCGTGTACAATAAATGTTAAGTACTACATTATTAATTGCTATTTCCTGGCTCAGCTGCTCAATTTGGAGAATTCCAAATGAGTAAATAAGCAAGAATAGGCTTGGTTGTACCATACAAGGCACATGGTATAAATTGTTGTACTATTGATACTTTGGTCTTTGCCAGTTGGTTACTGTATTAGTATACATAATATTACATATCAAGGTTATAGATTGGAAGAAAATTAACTGCAAAGTCAAAGAAAAAAGAACCAAGAATCATAGGAGCATCCAGTAGAAAATTGAAAGAAAGAAGATACTTATTGTGGCAGTGCTGCAAGAGGACTTGGACCTGGACATGGAGATCTGGGCATCAGTGCACTCAAGGCCACGCTTACTGTCACGGCAAACGTTGGCAAAAAGGCCAGGTGGGTATTTTCCATAGAGATTGATGTAACTAAATAAGGTGGTTGCACAATTGTTGGTAACGTCGTTTAGGGTTGGAGCGTAAGGGCATGCCAATTCCTTGAAAGCCCCACAACATATGTTGGCTGGATATTTGGGTCCTTTGCATCTGCTTGTTATGATCGTGTAGTTCCAGTGCTGAACATCTAGTGGGCAATCTGCAACAAATATCAAGGTTAAATTTTAGTGTCATTTTGAGTTTTGGCATTGTTTGTAGGTATTTCTTTATTAATGATCAACAGTTTTTACAAATGAATTAAAGTCAACCAGCTGTTTATGATGAAGAGTGAAGGATTCTTAGTCAAGTGCTATACTGGACAAGAGCTGGCAATAGCCGGAAAGATGAAGTCAATATTTTTTAATGCTTCTAGTACGTGTATGACTTTTTCTAGTAAGATGGTTTTGCTGAATTTGGAAGCCAGTCCTAATCAGTACTCAATCCGTTCTGTTTTGTTCGTCTTGATTGGATTACTCTGTATTTTACTTTCAAATATGCAGTACTTGTAACAAGCGAAAAAGACAGGTTCATTTGTGTGCTGATGAGGTTTACCTTTTGTAGCTTGAAGAAGATGTCGGCCTACAGAAAATCAAGGGTGTTGTAAATCATCTGTTCAGAAGTAATAGAAACGTTGGTAGTATTCAGTACGGAGTATATGTTAGCATAGGATGCACGCAAGACATTCTAAGATAGGGATGTAAACCAGCATGGCCATATAGGTGTTCCCGCCGTGCAAAATTGTTAGAATAGAAGAAGATTGTGATGATTCTAACCTGAGGGATTTGCCGAAGCTATAGGAAGTAAAAGTAAAAGAATCATGAATGTGACTGATGCCACTGCAATCCCAGTAGTAGAAGAATGAAAGAACTTGATCATGTCCCGTGAGCTCCTTATACTCTTCTCGGTTGCCATCGACATGAATTTTGAAACTTCACAGATATTTAGGTGAGCTTTGTCGTTCGCAGATTTTCAGTAAGCTAGAGAGGAGAAGTGTTTATTTAATGATCATGAGCTACATAATTGGATGAAGTGAGGCAATATTGACGAAGTCAATTGATTGAGACTTTGAAAGTGTTGTTCGTGGAATTAGTATCATTGCCAGCCAGCCATATGTAGTTTATCCACCGAACTGTGTGTTCGGTACAACGTACTTCAGATACTAGAAACACTAGTTAGAAAACTAGTAAACTACATATATACAAAGTACATATATAGAGGTGTTAAAACCGAACTGGTCCGAAAAAAATTATCCGTTTCAAACTGTAACTGATCCGATTTGACCCGAGAAATTCAGGACCCAAATCTGATATGTAACCGACCTGAACTTAATCCGAATTCGAATCTAACTCGATCTAAACTGAACCCGATATCGATTTAACCTGACTTGAACTCAACCCGAACCGATATGACTCGACTTGAACTCAAACCGAACCGATTTGACCCGACTTGAACTCAACTCGATCCGAAAATGACCCGACAAATAACCGATTTAATCCGATCTGTTTTAACCCGAATTGATATTAACCCGACCCGATTTAAATTGATCCGATTTTAATCCGATCCGATTCTAATCCGGCCATAATTTTAAACCTAACCTATTATTGACCTTTTTTTTTTCCTTCATGTTCTTATACTACTATATATTTACAAATTTACTAATTATTGATAAGTTAGAAAGTCTAAAACTCTAACAAATATCTTATACAAATTGAATTAGTAATAAAGCAAACTAATAGTACTCATAGCTAGGGTTGAGCAAAACTATCCGAAAAACCAAAATTCCGATCTGCATCCGATCCGAAAATTTAGGATAACCGATCTGAAAACATTTTCGGATCGGGTATCTGATTCGAAAATTTCAGATATCGGGTATCGAAAATTTCGATTTCGGATATCCGAATATCCGAAAATGTGTCGGATATCGGATATTGGATCGGATACCCGATCCGAAATCCGAAAAAAAACTTTTTTTTTTACCATTTTAAAAAAATAGGATAACCATTAACCCTAAGACCTAACTCACCTAAGTCCTTAATCAGTAATCCGCTTCTTTCTCTTTCTCCTCTATTTTCTCCCTCCTCCCTCCTCCCTCCTCTCTCATCTCAGATTCTCAGATCTCCCTCCTCCCTCCTCTCTCCTCTCTCATCTCAGATCTCCCTCCTCCTTCCTCTCAGATCTCCCTCTTCGTCTTCTACTCTATAGGTTGCTCGCGAAAATGGTGGTGATGGTGGTGTTGCCGTATTGGAGGGGGAGCCGTCGATGACTTCACACAATTATTCGGCGTCGAGTTTCGTGGTTTGTGAGATGAAAGAAGAGAGTTTGAGTACAGTTTGCCAGGTTTCGCGGGGGGAATTACGCCAGAGAATTTTTAGTAGTGGTGGAGATTCAATTCCGGTAGTAGAGGTATCGGAAACCGAGGCGAATTCGAATTCGAGACCTAATCTTGTTTATGGGAAGTTAGTGAATTGCTCGCGAAGATTCGATAGATCGAAGCTGGTTCTACGTTTTCTAAGACTGAATCTCTTGTTTGTATGATTGTTTAGACTGAAGTTTCGATATTGATTGTAATTGTGGTTTTTATTGGATATTTTGTTTGTATGATTGTTTAAAATGAAGTTTAGAATTTTAACTGCATTATAAAAAGGGTCGAATATTCGAAATTTTCAGATCGGATATCGGATATCAAAAATCCGGATTTTCGGATACAGATATCCGATCCGAAATTCAATTTCGGATCGGTTATCTGATACGTGCTCACCCCTACTCATAGCTTCATGAGATTAAACAATTGAAGAGTATGTAGTACCTTAAAAAGAGGACATTCTTTTTTGTATATCACCATATGTGACTACAATCAATCAGTCTATCACTAAGCTAGTTCATTACTATTTGTTTCACTTATATACGTAGGTATGATAAGTCATCGATAATTATTCAATTTGAAGTTGGCTCCAAGATAAATATTACACAAGAATTGATTGAATGAGAAAACTAATTCTTCGTATTTTGTAATAATTAACCACGCAATATGAGAAATGACACATGAGTGGCTTGATATCGACCTAACAATAAGGTAAAAATTCAATAATTACTCTAGTTTTAAAATGACTTTATTTGGATAATGAGTTAGTCAACTCAACCAAAATTTAGACAAAAAAACACGGAAAGGATTTGAATTTGAATTGACCAAATATTGAATCAACCTTATCTTAATCAAACTGAACTTGATCGAATCGAAATCATCCAAACCGAAATCAACCCGACCCAAATTCGTTCGACCTGAATTAACCCGGTCAAACCCGTTTTGCACCCGATCCGAATTTATCCAAACCGAACATGATCCGTTCTGGAACCTACCCATATCCGACCTGGACTCGATAGACCATACTCGAATTTTACCCGACCTGAACTTTACCCGACCCGACCCGATTCGAGTTAAATTTTTTTTTTTTTGACCCGAACATATCTGATCCGAACTGATCCGACTTGAATAGACCCGATCCAAACTTCACCCGATTATCCGAATTGACACCTCTACATATATAGACATTTCAAACGTACATGAGATAAACACGCTTAAATGTTTCATTTTTTTTGGCGGCACACCCTTATCGACCATTATATTACAAAGTTCAGTATACTTTAATGACAACATTTTAAATTATTTAAATAAATAGGAAATTATTTTAAATTTTTATGTAACTGAGTAACTAACGCAAAGAATTGTGTTGATTTTAGGTTGTTTGAATTTATGTTCGGTTAGGTTTTTGTCTTCTTTCTATAGCTTTAGGTTGGATTAAGTTAGTTAATTTTTTTTTTTTGACAAATAGGTAATTAATTTTCATATTTATGATGTATTCTCGTATCTTTTATACAATAACAAGTGGGTTTAGTATTGTTAGGGTGAGTTTATCCCCAGATCTAGACTCAAACTTCAAACTTTGCCACATCAGATTTTCACTAATTTTTAATTACTTTTTTATTATTCAGACTTACACAAGACTCTTTCCATTTTCACACATTATCCCAAAACTCACTCCAGCCTCACTTACCCTCCTAAATACTAACATTAATTATTCAATAACTTGTGTTGAGTTGGCAATATATTATTGGCCATGCAAAGTTTGCCAGCTTATTGCCCCCACATGAATAGTCTTAAGATGGGTTTTCATCCAAACCGCATACAAGACTCATGAGTCTTTTATGACATTATTGCCAAAGTCTTACATGAGACTCTTCTTGAGATTCCGCTTCAGACTTGCGATAAAGACACCCTATTTGCTGTTGTCATATTCGTATGTTATGGGTTAGTTCGGTGCACTTTATTGAATTCAAGTGCTAGACGCATAAAGCAGGTTAATCCATATTAACCAATTGCAATGTAGAGTTGTGAAAAAGTGCAAATGCACGATTGTTATGTATATTTATATACATAATCATAACATGGCATTGTCATAAATATTTTAAAAGTTAACATTGCATTGCTAAGTTATGAACTGTACCATAGTGGAATGGAAATATAAATGGTTATAAACTTATTTGACACTAAAAATAACTAAAATAGTATACTTTTAAAACTAATACATGTACTTAGGTAGTAAAATTGAACCTTTGATATTACAGTATTACAAATGGTTGTAAACTTGTAATGGTACTAAAATGAATACAGTGATACACTAATTTTGAAAATTTGAATGCTATAACATGGTCCCATTACTTTTATGTTATTGTACAAAATGTGTTAACTACCTCGGTTATACATCAAATTTCGCATAATAATTATACCTTTGGAATACCTTGTAGAGTTGTAGTAGACAAAGATGCTATAAGCCTATAACAACATCCATGATAAATCATGATATTATGTCATTATAGCCTTTATAGGGGAGCTAAATGGGAGTGAAACCCTTAGTAGAATCAGAGTAGAAATTATAATTGTATCAAGATTTTAGATGTAGGTTCTTTTTTTATTTTTTTATTTTTTTTTAAAATTATAGTCTTATAGATAGGAGTGGGACTTCGGTCTGGCAGTTCGGTTTGACCTCGGTTTGAGTCGGTTTCGGTTTGGAGCGGTTCGGATTGAAACGGTTTAGTTTAGCTGGCGGGTCGGTTAGGTTCGGTTTGGGTTAGTCACGGCTCGGTTTGGTTTCGGTTTATTTCTTTGCGGTTTAAATTCGGTTTGGGTCATAAGCGGGTCGGTTTATAAACGATTCGGATTATGTCGGTTCGGTTTGATACGGGTCGGTTTAAGGGGCGGGTTTACCCGGGTCAATGTCAGTTCGGTTTACAAACGGTTTGGATCAAGCCGGTTTGGTTTGAAATGGGTCAGTTTAGGGGCGGATTTACCCGGGTCAATATCGGTTCGGTTTATAAACGGTGCGAATCATGTCGGTTCAGTTTGAAATAGGCCGGTTTAGTAGAGGGTTTACACAGTTCAATTGGTTCGGTTTATGAACGGTTTGGATCATGTCGGTTCGGTTTATAAGCGGTTTGGGTCATGAATTGAATTCATGATTGTTTTAAAGATCGCGTCATGACCATGATTTAATGAGTTGATACTTATAATACGATAAATCGATAATTAAGAATGTACAAATATTCAATTAGATTGATCAACAAGTGTTTTAAACTTTTAAGTTTTAATAATCAGATATGTAAATATGTTTATCGATTGTAGATTTGTAGTACATACCAATAATTCAATGAGGCAATGATACTTATGATAGTATGATAATGATACCAACCATACATTCGTACGATATGATATACATAATAATTAATCTATAATTACATATACATTAACAATATCGTATTGAATCAATTTCCATTTCCAAACATTGCATTTCTTATAAATTATAACTTACACGAGATTAAATGGATTCGTTATTTAGTTTGTTACTTTATTTAGATTACTAACTCAAACAACTTAATAAGTTAAATGGACGAAATCACGAAATCATGACCATGATTTAATGAGTTGATACTTATAATACGATAAATCGATAATTAAGAATGTACAAGTATTCAATTAGATTGATCAACAAGTGTTTTAAACTTTTAAGTTTTAATGATCAGATATGTAAATAACTAAATATGTTTATCGATTATAGTACATACCAATAATTCAATGAGGCAATGATACTTATGATAGTATGATAATGGTACCAACCGTACATTCGTACGATATGATATACATCATATACATAATAATATAATTACATATACATTAACAATATCGTATTGAATCAATTTCCATTTCCAAACATTGCATTTCTTATAAATTATAACTTACACGAGATTAAATGGATTCGTTATTTAGTTTGTTACTTTATTTAGATTACTAACTCAAACAACTTAATAAGTTAAATGGACGAAATCACTAATTAAAGTGGTGATGAAAGCATTATGCAATACTAATGTACGAATAGTCAAATATACAACGGTTAGATTGAATGCCCATGAAAAACAATGGTTAGATTTTCATTACTTTATTAGTTATTAGTATTATTACTTATTAAGTTATTATTAGTTTTATAGTTTATTATATATACTGATATACAATCACAGACTCACAGATGTCAGATATTGTCATATTGATGAGCATTAAGCCATTAACTATGTCGTATTGAATCAATTTCAATTTTGAAACATTTGCGTTTCTTACAATTTATAACTTATAAGTAATAAACTAATAATAATAATAATAATAATAATAGTAATAATAATAATAATAATTAT